CTCGCACCGGATATTACGCGGTATAATAAGAGCAAGAGTCACGCGAGCACCCATGAGAAGGAAAATTTACGGTGGTATTACGATGAAGCATAGTTGTGTTCCTTCATCGTCGTCGTCGTCGTCGGCGGTCTCATAGCTGGCGTCACAACAAAATTTCCGAGTCACGCGTATTTGTGCACGAAATCGCGTGGAATCGGCGAATTCCGGGATCTTTATTGGCAATGCGGTCAGGCGAAACAGGAAACCATAACCTACCACACAAAACTATGTACGTGCCTTCGACGCTTACGCGAGTAACTGGCCTCGTGACTGGCACGTCACGCCGACCGATCGGTCTCCATACGCCAAGGCCGTCTTTCAATTGCTACGTTTTACGAAGCGACGAAGAATGCCGTCAATAACGAGCCGTGTATTAACTCGACCAACGAAAATACGAGTAACAAGCCGGTTCGAGACACGCTGTGAATAGCAAGTAAATTAGTATACTGGTTTTCGTTGACTTGTTTTCGTATTCGTCATCGATCGATGTGTAGATAATGCGTAAATGATGCGCAAATAATGGTTCTGGATGGTCTGAGCTCAGAACTTCCCGGAGAAGTTTGAATATCTTTACGATTGACTAATGAATTTTAATAACTTGGTCTTTTTTATGTTCATTATATTCCCAGTAATTCTTTGTTACAACTTATCAGGAATCGTAGATCTTTTTATATTTAAATAATAAGATATCGTATCTTATTATTTAAGGATAAAAAATTCGCAGTCTAGAAAGCCATCTATCGTATCTGAATTTCATATTTGTAATAATTTTTATTTTAGTTCCTCCTCAAAATTTTCACGCGGATGACAGAAAAATATTCGTATCTTGATATTTCAAGCAAGTAATTATACAACGAAAGTTTTAAAATCACTCATGACTTATAATAGCTTATTGGAACTGCAGAGTGTCGATTGCTTCGAGAAAGATGACCAATAGGCTATAATTACTGACGATATTATTAAGGCTTCTTGATTAGATGATCAAGCAATAGAATCGTATTGATAAAGATTGTGATTTCTTTGAGGGATGGCGAGCTGAATATATGTAAGCAGTAATGAGCTTGCATGTCTATAATACAATAATTTAAAAGAATGAAAGAATTTTAAGAAAACTCTAATGATTATTCTATTTGAATATGTTCATGCATTTCAATATTTTAATGCATTCCTTGAAGATGATCACCGTTGGATAACAATAATTAGTCTCAGTACTGCTACGTTATATTGTAGTTAAATGCTTTGTAGACGTAACATTTAAATTCTTCAAAGATTGCGTGCGATTTCATGGTGAAACAATCTGATGTAACAATTTCGACGTCTGCTATGTCCTAGTCATGTATAATCATTTGTAGAATCGATAAATAACCTCTTTGTTATATCATGCGAATTACGTATTGCATTTCGCACATGGAAAAGTTTCAGCGCAAGTTTCAATATATGTTATATTTTTATCGAATGTAATTTTGTTGGAATTCTTCGAAGAAAAAAATAATATTTAGCAGAAGATAATCGATTTTCTAAACTCTACTCTGGTTCATTTCTTTGTTACGACATCAAGCTTGTATCGACAGATTTTCAATGAACGTAGTAAGATTACAAAATTTCATAGATAATAGATACAACGCAAAACTTAAAATAGAGAATTTAAAATAAAAAGTTAAACTAAAGAATTTGTAGAGCTATCCCTTAAACGGAAAAACAGGGTGGATCAAGTTCCTTTCTTCAACGTAAGAAATAACGAATTGCTTGACTCGTCCGTGTTCCGAGTTAATAATAATCGATAGAGCTTTTTTTCTGCAGCGCGGAATCGATGGAAATTTCTGTGTCGCGCTTGCTCGTATTCTAGAAATTATTTTCCAGGCAATTACCCGCGGTTTTTATGCGGACTCTCGTCTAGACGATGCTCATTTACGTCCGTGTCGGAACGAAGAAACGAAATGGCAGGTAACGAGGCGCTTGACATCCGTCAAAGAACTGGCGACCGACGATAACGGTGCTCCAGAAACGATAACCAGTTCGAACTGTCTGGCTCGCCGACCAATCGGGATCATTGACTCCCTGTTATCGCAACAAGCAAACCAGATGTCTACTTCGACTCACAAATTTTCGCAAATATTTTGATCGAGTCACAAGTTTCAAACCGATATCAGAAATTTTACGACGTTTCTTCGAATATCGTTTTACGCCCGAACCGCGTTACAGATCTTACATACGAACGTCCCTGACCATGTTTTTGAACTCTGAGTTTCATTCGTTCACTGTTTTAAAGTGTTAGTAACAAAGAATTAAAAATCTATAAATATTTAATAAGAGGAATTTTAAAAGAGGAATTTAAAATAATACATGTATGTATTATTTAAATACAGCTAACAATATATTTGAATTAAAGAAATGTGACTCTTGAAATTCGTTTGCGACTTTGTATATCGATTAAGAACAGTTTTTACTTTTTCTATGTGGAAAATAATCGATAAAAAGCAACGTACTAAATATTTTGGGGAAAGGGGAAAATATTTTGTATTTAGTTAAAATTATCGTACCTAAACTTATCTGTATTCTCTATTTATTTTTGAATAAACGAAGGATTCGTATTATGTCACAGAGTGGAGATAAGAATTTTGCGCAGAGCGAAAAATGAAAATAAAAGTAGTTAGATATAAGCGGCTAAACAAAAATACGAGCAAAAATTAAAAATGGTAATGCGCACTGTGGATTATCTTATTCATTCAAATAAGAAATATCGATGTTGTTCTTGTGGTGATACGTAATTATTGCGTATTATGAGCTCGATGATTTTACCGTTAAATGACAGTATGTTTTGCATAATTTCTTTCTTGAGATTACTATTTACGTACGATCGTTACGTAACTAACGCGGGACGTAGTGAGGAACTAATTTTGAAAGAGTTTCTTTTCATTCAAGACGATATAGATGTGAATATCAACATTAATATTTTGTTGGAAAGATTTGTCCGGTATATCGACCGAACTTATTTGTAATATTTCGATAAATATCGTACAGAAAATTCACATTGAATCGTCGATTACGATTCGATACATTTTACATTTACCACTAAAATCAGTAATAATCACAACTATGTTATCTAATAATAAACCTATTTCAAGATCCACACATAGTCAATAAATGAATTATTTCCTTCATCCACTTTATCAAATAATCAATTGGCGAATTCGAGAATCATCTCCTATTCTACTCTGGAAATTTACCACCGATCCTCGATATCTACCAACACACCTAAAAAAGCATGGTCATAATACATTCTGAAATGGACGGGTAAACTTAAACGAATACCCAAAGATTTTCAACATCAGTACCAATCAATTTACAAACCATTCTAAGAATCATTATCTATTTTACTCTGGAAATTTACCAATATTCCCCGGCATTTTTCAATAGATCCAAAAGACTATAATTTATTCAACGCCAAGTATCTTTGTCAAAGTTTGTTGAGACTAGCAGAGAATTTCCCCGAGCATTACTCACGCAATCATTGACACTACCGACGCGGCAAAGTTCTCCAAGAAATTGAGGGGAAGCGGCATGGAAGAAAAACGCGATTGATGAAGACTCTCCGCAGGCTCCGTGGTGTTCAAAGTCCGCGGAGGGTGTCATGTGCCATCGAAAGCGAGCAGTATCGATAACGCAGAACCGCAGACGGAACGAGAACAGCTACAGTCGTTAGTCGTTAATCGTTATCGATTTAATTGCCTCGATCTCCCCTGTGAAGCCTGTCGCAAGAGGTCGTGGTCCAGATCGTGGAACTTGGACGCGGATCACGAGACGCTCGACGGATTTCTGTCGACTACAAAGACGAACGGCGGGTGATTTCCTTTCACAGAGACTCGTGTTTTATCGGCCTCCGACTAGAAGAAAGACGGGAACAGGGAGAGAAAGAGGGAAGCCTAACCATGCATTATAAATTATAAATTTCCACGAATAGAATCCCGCAGCCAAACATTCTCTGTGTATCGAACGATCACGTTATTCACGTTCACGGGCACGTGGCCAAACGTGCCGCGAATTACTTTTCAAGACGACTCGCATGCGCGCTTCAGATTCAAGCAAACAGCTGTTTATTGCGTGTTGCAGCGAATTTCTGTCTCGTAACTTGGAATACAGGATGTTCGAGTTCCTTGATTTTATACATACGATTTATGTGGAGTCAACTTTCCATTCAAATGATCACGATTAGATGATCTTTTCCATATTTCTTTTTAACATTTATATGCACAAATATTTTATGTCCACTTTTAGCGTTTTCGAGATAAACAGTTATAAAGGTTCAATAGTACTTAACAATTAAATAAATACTTTTTGCATTGTACTTATCTTTATCGATGCTATTATAAAAGTGATTGCGAATCGTGCATTGATTCTTTTTATCAACATAAAATTACAAATGTCATTGATGGTTCTTGAAGATATTTCGATATATACTAAATATGGTAAACAAAAATATGTTTTTGATGACATTTATCAAGTAGATATAAATTTGATTTGCAAACACGACCTAAAGTAACAGTTAGAAATTACGTGTCCTATATAAAAAGTTAATTTTCTCAAAATGTGGGCATACGATGTTTGTGCAGTAAGCCATCGATATCCCTTACTGAAAGATTATGGAATATTATGGAAGATTATGGAATTTTTCTCATTTTTACATAAATAACAACATATTTTAAATGCAATTATGTCAAAAATTAAATAATAAATATTTCTCTCGTGGAAGTACCAAATATCGCGTAACAAGGAATGGAAGAAGGAAATATCAAATGTAACTGCGGGAATTTTTTAGAAACTGGGTGATATTTCGTAATAATCGTCGCGTCGAAATGTATCAAAAGTGCCAACCTAAATTTGTTAATTCTAAGCTAAAAAAATTTTCTCTCTAAACAATTCAAAATCTAAACTCAAATCTAATCTCCAAACTTTAACAATAATTCTACGGGTAATTTCACCATCGATTCGTTATAATATTTTACGGTTACCACGATAATCTAAAATTCTGTAAAGGAAAATGAAATTTGTCCGTTCGAAGCGTTTAGTGTACTTACAAAGGAACGAACAGTCATTCGAGTATATCGGTGCAAATCCAGGCTCGTTAAGCCATTAAATGACAACAGGCCCCGCGGGTTATCGTCGCGCTAATAAAGCCGGCGTTGCGGACACGGTACAACGATAAGAAAGCTCGTTTTATTTCTCCTAGCTCTCGATCTTCGTCGTAAACGTGCGTAACACGCGAGCCTGTCGAGGAATCGAGATAAGGCACGCAGATATATCGGTGAGTCGACGCGAACCTCGTCAAAGATTGCGCTAATACGGGACAACGCGGACGATCAGCCGACACGCGGCTTTTACGCTGACTCAGAACCACGCAAACACCATTTTTAATACGCTGCGCAATGTATTTTTTCTCAGTTTTGATCGATCGACGTTAACGCAAGCGAGCGCGGGGTAAATACTTCATTTGCAAAACAAGTTTTGTAATTTAACGTTGTTTTTATTGTTTCCAATTGCATTTCAAGTGAAAGTTTTATCAATCTACCGTGCTAATTGCGAAAGTATAATATAATATTATACATATTAAGAAGTATATATATTATATACTTTAATGTCTTCTTCTAATGATTTAGTTTCAAATAATTATTAAGAAGATACACGAGATTTTTAATTGATAATTTTTGGAATCCAATATATCGAATATTTTTTTAATATTTTCCCCTTCTCAGTGCTTTCCCTTGCGTCACACAAAAATTTCCTACCTACCTTGTCAAAAACCGCGTCCACTGTCCTCAATTCATCTTTATATCTTTCTAGGACTTTACAATATTCAACGTTTCTAAAAAATGTCTCCAAAAACGCACTTTTAGTCATCGATACAGTGAATCTGCCCCCAAATCAAGAATGTAAAAATCTTACATAAATCCTACTTACATATATATACAACATACATTTAAAAAAAGGACACCCGAGAAGAAGTATCAATCGTCCAATGCAAAAAAGTCCATTTTTAACTGTCAATCTGACGCAACGTCGACCACTAATTGCTTTTAAAAAGCGATAATTCTGTTGACGTTGATTCGGGACAGCACGAGCCGGATTTTTCTCGGGATTTCCAGGTTGTTCCCTCGAGGCCTGGCTCTCGTTAATTTACATTGGACGCTCGATGAATCCTTCGGGCACGAAAGCGGCCAAAGCAAATTTGCTCAGTCCGGTCACGCGCGCACCGCTCCTCAGCACACGCGTTCCAACGTTTACCAGTGTCATTATTACCTGACGAGGTAAACCGAATGCGCAGGCTGGTTAATGGCAATGGTAGAAAAGAGAACTGAACGAGAATCGAACGGTGAGTACACGCCTGTCTGACGTCGTTCGCGCCGACACGTGCTTCGCGGCTTAAGGAGATGTTTTTCAAAGAGATTAGGAACGTCGTCGCGTCGTGTTACTCCTTTCTGCGTCGTCCTTTTTCTCTCGTTGACGCTTGCTTGAAACGAATTTTCCTTTTTCTTCTTTAGGAAAGATGGGGCGTCGAAGAGCTTAACCCCTTAACTTGGAGTTTTCTTTGGTCTTACCCGTCAGAAATGCACGATTTTGGTTTTAGCTTCGCATTGTTTTTTGACTATATAATATATTATCTTGTAACTTTAATGTCATTTCTTATATTATTAATATAACAAAGTACAAAACACAAACTAGGATCTGAATGAAAGCAAACGTTTTTATAAACATTGTTGGGAGAATATTTTCTTGAATGCGTAAATATCTAGTATATCAGTATTATTTATATTCTATATATAGCATTGTTAGTATTATATATAAAAATGTACAATTCCTTTATTTTTATCAGTTTTCGTTCTTATAGTAGCATTTGATTAACGTAGCCACTTTCATGATAGATATTTCCGCAATTACCATTGGAGGGAGTATGTGTGACTTTAGAAATATAAAAATAGCATCGCTTCACTTGTGATATATCTACGCCTTTTGTGCAAATAAAACAAACGATTATATCAAATACGAAAACGTGATTGCGTTTTTAGTACGAAAAACGTTCAGTTGACTGTGGTCGTGTCTCACACAGGCACGGGCATGGGCTTAATTTTGTGTGTAAAATTTGGTTCGTAAAGTAAGAAAGCAAGTTCCATTGATAATCACTTCTTTTCACCACTTAAATTGACAAAACAAGTAGGTAATAAACATCAGAGAATTTTTGAAATTTCTATAAAAACGTAACTCTACGATGTTGCTTTTTTGCACCTACAACTACATTTTTAAGAAAAATCCTAAAACCTTCCACAGGCTATTATATATATCTTTTCCATTCATCTAATGTTTGAAAATCCTTATTCAATAATAAACATATTTGAAAAAGAATTTTGTTTCATACTGAACAATCTTTTGCCATTTACGCATCACAATAAAGTCTCGGACTCCTCTCAACAAAAGAATTTTTCACGCTCCATTATCTTTACAGTTCTTTACCACTCTTCCTACAGAGTAATTATCACAATACCTGCAATGCAACTACGTATCTAAAAATCAGCACATTCTTTTCAGAACACGAAATCTAGAAGGTTTTAACCTGCAACGATAATGCATCGGCAATTGCTCTATACTCAGCTAATATAGAAGCAACATCGCGAAAGCAGAACATGGGACAGTTTATCAAAGATAAGTCCGACACTATGGCTATGAGGTTATGGCATCTTCAAGGCCGTGATACGTGAAAACACTACCGACTTACAACGATGTTCGGTTCCTCGTCGTCACGGTCCTACCTTCCTCTCCGTGTTAAACGACAATTTGCCGGTGTTACGCCGTCGAGAACACAGATGCTAATTGGATAATTATATGCAACATCTATTAAGCGGTGCGCGGTCCCGTGTAATCTTCAAATTTATTTTGTCGAAGGAAAAGAAACGTAATGGAAAAAAGGAAACGCAAATACACGAAGGAACATGGATTGCTTAATAACGTCGAGCAACATGGCGGAACGCGAACGCTTGTAAAATATATAGGGTGATCCGTAATTGATGATTCACATGGGATCAGGGAGGTTCTATGGGTCAAAATAAGACGAAAATCAAGAATAACAATATTACTGTGCAAAGTATACGTAAATTTGCTGAATTCTCAGTTAGATAGGAATAGATAATCGATAGGATGTTATTGTACATGTGAAAATGAGTGGAAAATGTAAAACAAAACCTTCTCACCTAAAACCTCATTTTCGAAAAAATCAATTTCAGAGAATTTGCCTAGTATCTACATACCGAACTAATTCTTGACTAACGCAGGTGTACAAATCCCACTTTCTTCAAAACGGTGTATTAAATAACAGAATTTTATGTTTCATCTTCATCTTATTTTGACACATAGAATAATTTCTTTTCATTTCGTCCGTTCCTGCCAAACCGAGAGCTGATTAAGTTCACGTGTACCTCACAAATTTTCAAACTCGATTTCCACAAAAACGAAGTCTTCGACGCAATTTTGGTATTCTTGATTTTCGTCTTACTTTGAACTAGTGAGCTTTCCTGACCCCACTTTTATCGTGAATTACGGACCACCCTCTATAGCATTCGGTCGATACTATTCAGCTAGCCACGCTGACGTTAATCGGATAATTCTACGCGAACCCTGTCGTGCGTTAATTTAGATATTATTCCTTGTTCGCGACGTCCACCGTAGCTGGAGAAAATTCCATTGGGAGAGTCGTGAAGACAGCGACCAATGGAAGGGGTAATTATGATACCACGGCGGAAAATAATTAAACGTTTGCCTGCGCTATCGGAACTTTCAGTATTTCGAGCGAAAACTCCGTTAGTCGCCAGCACGTATTAATTTGAGCCTCGAGAATGATTATGCGGTAATTCGAATCTGTTCTTTTGGATTTATGGACTATCTTGTTCCTCGTTGATTGAATCTGCCTTGAAAATTCCCAAGTTGATGGTTTTTGTCTTTGCACCGTTCTACTTCATGTACATATATGGATGAATGATTGATGCTTCGTTGAAATGAATGGCAAATGAAATGTTAATATTCAAGAATATCAAAATTATTGGGATATATTTCACGAACAAGCTTAAGTTAGATTGAAAATGTTTTCAATCATAAGTCTCGTCTTCGTCGAAACAACATCGGACAACCTTTTGTCTCCTTTAATTTCCGTATTTTCAAGTTCGAAACATTTTCAAAAAATAGCAATCTATAGAGACATTTTGCTTCATACTGAAGCAACATTCGACAACTAACGGTGATTTTTTCAAAAAACAGGATCAGCAATAAGATACTTGTTCGATGTTGCTTCAGTGGAATCGAGACTATATGTTAAGCCTCTGCCTTTTTAACTTTCGTCCCTGAAAATTTTCTTTAACCCCTTAACTAATAAAATTATGACTTCCGGTCGACAAAATGTATAATTCTTTTATGTTCTAAAATACTTCCATGCACGATAAAAAATGTAAAAATGTCATATTTTACAAGTACCTTTTGTAATAATTACGCAGTGTGGTAGATTTTGAAACACGGAATACACAACCCGTTTAGTTTCTTTTTTATTCCCATTTTGCAAATATGGATAAAGAAACATACAAAATATCTTGATGTTATTTTTATTATGTAAGAAATTATTGCATTGATATTTCGGAGAGTACATAGAAATACGAAAAAATGGGAATTATGTCAAGTTAACTCGGTTGATTAAGGCAGAAGGTTAATAAATATAAGTCAATCGAATCAAGTGTTACCGACATCAGTTAATTTCATTCTAATCAAAATTCCAAATAAAAGTATAAAAGTTTCTTCCACTAATAAAATTATATTCATTCTCTAGCCTTCCTTTAACATAGGAACAACGAACAGAAAACATAAATTGTACATCCGTCTGTCGAAAACAGCTTTTGGACACACACTGTTTCTCAACTTTAACATCGCCCATCGTGTAATAGAATACACGGCGATTCGTTTAACCATTCAATTTTTACGAAACACCATATTAAATCTCAACGATACAGAGACGCCATAAAGGCTGATCACCGATATCCTTCGACAAGAAGCAGGACGTTCACTGTCTTCGAACGTTCATAACAACCATCTTTCTTTGGCCTTTTACGATACCGGATGCTTAAGTTCGAACGGCAGAACTCAAGAGCGAGAGAGAGAAGGAGAATCCATGGAGGCGTGCACACGCAGTAAAGAGTAAAGTTTAATTGCCAAATAATAATTAGACGAGGCAAAGCTCGCGACTCGGCGTAATTTACGATACTTCTAGCCTACCTCCTACCGGTGATAATAATTTCCATAAAAATTACGAGTGGCCCTCGACGTGGCTCTCGCTGCATTTCCTTTCGCTTCCTATATATGTATATATGTATAATGACGCTATTCCCCCTTTTCCTTGGCTACTTAATTTGCGCAGTGCTTTATGAGAGGTCCTCGCCCACGGCAGTAATTTACCCTTCCCGAGGGACAGACTCGTGTCCTTGACGAAACGCCATTTTTTTTCCCTCGGCTCCGTCAGTGGATAGGCTTGACACTCGTTTCTTCGTGTATAGAATCCTCTGCTGGATGTGTATATGGAAATGATTATGAGTTTCCAGATAATAATGTTGAAATTTGCAAAGCTTCATTAGCCTAAGGCATGCAATAAAAATTATAAGAAAAAGTATCAGCACGTGAGAATCACAGAAGTAGAATATGATAAGTAAGTACATTTCTACTGATTCTCAGAATTTAATGTTACTTTATGATTAAAATAGGAAGGTTTTAACATGGCTTAATTGAAAAGGAAAACAACCTGTTAGGTTCAAAGATGTTACAACTCTTCTAAATAATTGATAAGTAATAGTAAATTTTGTGAAAACCGAAGACATAATTATTAAGACAAGCAATATTCTCATATTTATCGGCGTTATTCTAATATCATAACGAGGAATATTTTTAAAACTTTGAAGAATATGGAAAAACACATATTTAGGCACAAAATAAAATAGAAAACAATTTTGATAAGATTGACAACGTAATAAATTAATAAATTACTTCGTTGTGAGAAATAGGAAATTTGAATTACCGTGTACTCTCTTGTAATCTTCATATATAACTTTGTATAATAGCTCCACCTCAATCCATATCCTGGAAATTCCTGAAGAGGAATCGTGGTTGAAGAACACCTTGAAATTCTATGGTATTTCACTTGGGTGAATTTCATCTTTCCTTTTTGATATCTCTGATGTTACACGTTTGCTGTTCTCCATTTTCATTGAAATTCTTCGTTTTACCTTCTCACGTTGTTTTCTTACTGGCGAAATTTATTATTTATCTGTATCCTTTTATTATTATTGCTTGTATGTATCACCTACTATTATTATTTGCCTCTACTTTTATCAACAAATGCAAAGTCAATTTTTCTTCAACATGGAATACCTATATATATATATATATATATATATATATGGTAAATCCATATGTCATAAGTATGCATGGTAGCATGATTCTTACTATTAATTGCAGACTCTGACCTGTATGCTTGATGCAGTTATAGTAGATCAATAAATTATAATTTACATCCAAACGTCTCAACAAATATGCGCGTTTGAAGAAAGAATAATTCAGATGACGTACTGTCGCTGCATTAATTGGCTACTTGATAGGTTAATTTAATTGAAATACGTAATTTTATGATTCTGTAGAAGAAGAATTATGGAGAATCTTTATGAAGAATTTTCAGATTGACTATGTGATAATATTTTGAAATTACAAAAAGTGTACTGATACAACGAAACTTGTGTAAATAATATTATCAAATCTTGAGATGCAATGTACAAAAACAATTTAGGATTAGTTTGATGCGGGCGTTTCTTCGAGAAGTGTGATGTTCTGTTCGACGTGATGCATTGCCACTGGTAATGATTATTGCGATGAATCTGCAAGTTTGAAGCACTTGTAGAACATCCCGGAGCAAGTCTCGTTCATGCATCTGTATTTATAGTTGAATGCGTGACGAAATTGGTACGACGTCCACGCGCGAATTAAGTTTATTTTTTATTTAAGTTATTACGTAATACTTATAGTTCCTAATATGAAAAAACAAGAATCTTTCGGAATAATATTTATCATTTGCAAGTTCCATTCGAAAGTGAAAAATCTCCAAAATTTATTCTCCCATCAGTCGTCAATTTTACAAACTTGTAATTTTATTACGACATAATATTCGCAGTAATTCTTCTTTTCAGACAATGAATAGGAGCAAGTGTGATACGTCGATCGAAAGCTGATGTCTCAAGGATTACAATGGTTATGATTCGAATTGATGCAAACTTGTAGTTTTCGAGTCTGCATAGTCCCTTTACCAAACGACATCACTACCTTCCCCACTCTGTGAACTTTTACAGTTTAAACAAAGTCTTTAGTCTTTGACAATGCAGCGTCGGGTCATTTGTCATCAATAAATTACCTCATGTATAATCTAAATAGTCTAAACAGTCGATATCATCTATATTTCATAGCTCGGCTTCGAACCGAATTTGAATCGCTGGTTATCCAAACATTCGCTCGAGCATCCTGTCGAAGTCCTTACCAAGCCAAAGGCCCAGTCATAAATTGCGGTAAATAGCAGCGAATTATCTGTCATTATAACGAAGACGACGCGTCGCGCTGTTAATATACATATATCCTTATAATGCATAGAATATTTATTAACTAATTGAAATGGAATAAAAAATATTTACTCTTTTGTGTAAACAAGCAGTATTCAATTGATATCTTATTGATATCCTTATCGACATCCATTTCCACTATCTTCCCATTTATTTTTGTCCGAATACGCATCTACTATAACCATAGTTTAACAGTTAGCCCTCTCTCTCTCTCTTTTTCTCCTTTCCTCCCTCCTTCTTACCGGGACTAAATTTTCCCACGAATCACAGGAAAGTGATTATGTCTCGTTAGTTTAAACAAGCAACAGCAGCAGGATTATATTTCTCTTTTCAGAAGAGGCTGTCCTCGCGTTCCGCGTCTTTCGCAAGGCTTTAATGACCACCACGTGGTGCTATCATCGGAGGCAGTACGTGAGAAACACGGACGAGTATCATCACGCGGTGACTCGCTAAAATTATCCGTGCTTCGCTTTCGAGGCAACACCGAAGGATGAGAATTAAGCCGGCGCAAAAAACGACGAAGACCGTGAAGACGAGCGATGGTCTCTTCGGTTTCTCAAAAGACTTCTCCTGGGAAGGTAGTCAAGTGGAACCTTCCCGTTTCTTCGCCGACAATGTTCTCTTTCGAAGATTTTTTCTCCGAGCAATTTTTTCTCCAACCGCAAGAGACATTTCTTTCTTTTTCTCCACTATTGCTAGTGATGTTTTGGGGATCTTTTATTTTACTGAAGTTATGGTTGTTAGTTTATATATTACGAAGTCTGGTTTACAATATGTACTTTGTTGGACTTTGTTGGATAATACTTGGTATTAGACTAAATACTTCATTCAGAATAATCAAGGAAGGCATAGATTTAATTACAGGTCTCTCTTTGTTCTTCGTTATATTCTACCCTCTATCAATCTACTCCTTATAGTTATAATTTACTGTCAATTATAAGATCATTCACTATACATGTATTATTTTTTCATATTATTACATATATTGTGATTGTGATATATAAAACTATAAAAATAGTATGTTTTGCGTAGAAAAAAATATTACGTAAAAATAAGAAAGTCGTAGAGTTGAATTGTACATGATATTATTAGCTACATTCCTTACAAATACTACGATATGTCTCGCACAAGTCGTATGGCTACAAACACGGGAATGGCGAGGAAAACGAAGATCTGGCGGCCCTTGGCTACCATCAATTGTCTCTAATAACAGTAACGTTCGATTAAATATAACCTCGAAACTTCTCAAGTCCGACATTCTCTAACGCTATGAATATCAAGACAATATGTGCGACAAAAAATATAAATTAACAATAAACATTCGTCGATCTATTCCTAAAATGTAAAACACCGAAAGCACTACACCAAACCCGGAGTACGTGATTAATTGATCGACAATTAAAATGCAGCAGAGTTTATTAATTATGCAGCGAAAGTTCTGCGACGTTGCACGAGTCAGTATCTCGAAAGTAAATTAAGGATCATCAATTGGTGGCATACTCATTAAGAACCTCTCACGAAGGAAGATATACGAACGCTTGCTGAATGTACACGTTGGATCTCAAAGAATATCGCAAAGAATACAAATCGTACGATAAAAATAAATAATTGGAACAACGCGAATCAATTTTAGAAACGAACCAATAACATTAAAAAATTGTCTTTCCTTTCGAACATATATGCATTTCGATCGATACATTACGCTTTGTAATTATAAGATCCTAGTATCCCATAAAGCTTTGTACTTTGATTAAACGAAGATTGTAAAAAATATTTTGCATCCGATGGGAAATATGATTCACGAGTCATTAATTCATTCCAATTATTGGCTGGAAGTATCTCTCAAGTCGAACAGTTCGATTTTACTCGACCGTTCAACCACGTTCGTCAGCATAAAGCTTGATATTTAATTATTGAGGCGGGTATTAACCACACGGTTAATTCGCAGCCGGCTCACTACGTGTCTTATGATTAATCACTAAGCTGAAAGCCAACCCGAGAAGTAATTGTGCAATCAATATATAGAAAGAAATTCCCAATACACTGTATATTCGTTCGGTAATTAATAGGGGTAACTCTCCACAAGTATTTAAATTATATTCATCAATTATCGGGCGCTT